GACTATATTATTGCTAAAAGGAAGTGGAGGAGCTCAGTTATAGCATCAAAGACGTGGCCAGGTGCTGACTGTGGAACAGAACACAAACTGCTCATGTGCAAGTTCCAAGTTAAGCTAAAGAAGAAGAAGAAAACCCATGAGTTTCCACAATATGATCTTAATATATACCCACCATTTTCAAAGAGAACATCAAGAATCACTTTGAAGTCCTGAACCTCACTGATAGAGAACCAGAGGAATTATGGAATGAGCTTAAAGAAGTTGTTAAGGATGAATGTGAAAAGAGACTGCCAAAAGAAAAGAAAGCAAACTGGATCTCAGAACGAACTGTGGAAATTGCCAAAAAGAGAAGAGAAGAGAAAACCAAGAAAGAAAAAAAATCTCAGAAATTTAACAAAGAATTTCAGAGAGCTGTTAGCAATACAGGAAGCAGTATTATAACAACATCTATGAAGAGATTAAAGATGGAAACAGACATGGAAAAACAAGGAAAGTTCTCCAAAAGATCTCTGAACTCAGAAGGAGGTTCCAACCTTGAATTGGTATGCTAAAGGACACCAATGGACAGATAGTAACTAATTCAAAGAAGATCAAAGGAAGATGGAAGGAGTATACTAAAACACCATGCAGCAGAGATGTCAACATCCAAGAAACCTTATTCCTTACTTACAAGAACCTCTAGTACTAGAAGATGAAGTTAGATCAGCACTCTAGTCATTACCAAGTTGGAAGGCTACAGGAACAAATGTAATACCCACTGAAGTATGGCAAGCACCAGAAGAAGAATCAGTCAAGGTTCTAACCAAGCTATGCCAGCAAATCTGGAGAATGACACAGTAATTGGAAGAGATCAATCTAAATTCCAATACCCAAAAAAGGAGACTTAACAGAGTATGCAAACTATCATACAGTATAATTAATTTCACATGCTAGCAAAAAAATGCTTGGGATCCCAACCCAAATTACAGCCCTACATGGAAAAAGAGATGCCAGATGTTCAAGCTGGCTTTAGAAAAGGCCGAGGAACACGAAACATTATTGCTGATGCATGCTGGGTAATTGAGAAGGCCAAAGAAGACAGTGTGTGCTTCATTGATTATAGGAAGGCCTTTGATTGTGTCGATCACGTGAAACTGGAAAGTGCTCAGAAAAATGGGAATCCTAGAACATCTCATTGCCCTCGTGAGAAACTTACATACAGATCAGGAAGCCACAGTACAGACAGAATTTGGCAAAACAGACTGCCTTCAGGTTGGCAAAGGAGTGCAACAAGACTGCATACTCTCCCCTTATTTATTCAACCTATATGCAGAATATATGTTAAGGGAAGCTGGATTGGAGCAGTTTTAAAATTGGAGGAAGAAATATAAATAACGTGCACTATGCTGATGACACTGGCCTGGTAGCTGAAAATGCAAAGGATCTGCAAACCCTAGTAATAAAAGTCAAGGAGCACAGTGAAAAAATGGGATTAAAATTAAATATAAAGAAGACCAAACTATTAACAAGAACAATCAGACTTAGAAGTGACAATGAAGATATTGAAATGGTGGAGAGCTTCTGCCTTTTAGGATCAACCATCAACAGTAAAGGAACAAGCAGTCAAGAAATATGCCACAGACTAATATTTAGTAGAGCAGCCATGAAAGCCTTGGAAAAGATATTCAAATGCTGTGTTGTGTCTATACCTACAAAAATCAGAACTGGACAAGCCATGGTATTCCCTGATACTCTACGGAAGCAAAAGGTGGACTTTGAAGAAGCGGGATAGGAAGAGTATTGATGCTTTTGAACTTTGGTGTTGGAGAAGACTCCTGGGAAAATTGTGGACAGCCAAGAAAACAAACGGATGGATCATTGAACAAATCAACCCGGAGTTCTCCCTCGAGGCACAAATAACCAAGCTCAAATTATCTAACTTCAGACACATTATGCGAAGACCCAGCTCTCTGGAGAAGGCTCTAATGCTGGGAAAGGTGGAAGGAAAGAGGATGACCAGCAGCAAGGTGGATGGACTCAGTTACAGGGGGTGATGGAGGCACCACTGGAAGACCTGAAGGACCAGGTTGGGAACAAATTGTCATGGAGAAAATCTATCTATGTGGTCACTAAGAGTTGACACTAACTTGATGGCACACAAATCAATTTGCTATAAATAAAACCATTACCTATGGGATAGCAATAGGCTTAGCTCTGTAATGCAGTTGTGGGATATTCAGTAATGGAGATTTTCTGTTGTAAAAAACTTGGAAGCCACCAGGAATCATCTGATTTCTCCAGACAGTGCCTACATTGCTGCCTACAGAAGTACCAAAATAATATCCCTTGCTATGAATTCAAGAACTATAAGCAAGATATAAACTGCAATTATCTGGAAACATCCCCCTCCCCAATAAACAGACTGCTCCCCTTTGTGAGAAGGTTCTGGTTATTCTCAAATCCTAACCACACCTACATGGGATAAGCACTGAAAACATTGGAGATATTTTAGAGCAAATACTCCTAGGATAGCCTGGTCAAGAATCTTGCCCATCTTACCTTCTAATGGTGGGGGACACCTAGTTGTTGCAGAACTAGATTTAAAATAATTCCCCACAAGCTGCCTGTCTTACTTGCGCTAGATCTGCAAGTAAACTGACAAGACGCAGAAATTTCTTCTTTTAGTTTCCAGTGAAAAGAAAGCTGGGATTTCAGTGTACAAAAACTCAAAAAAGATATTTCAGACATCAGCAAGCAACAATTTATACAAATAAATACACACAGACTGATAGTAAATCTTGGAAAGTGATGTGGTAATTGCTCTGCTGAGCATTTTACTGACTGCCAGGATTTAATTATCTCACTTTCAGGGCTCTAAGAATGTGCTTCTACTATAGGTGTCAGCAGTGCAAGACTTTCAGAATGACCATGTAGAGACTGGCACAAAGCACTTCCCACAGAAAATTCAGTGCATTAGACTGGCAGCTCACATTTATGCAGGGATTCCTGCAAATGGAGTTTGACTTTTTAACCATCAGTTCTCAAGGGTGGATTCAAAATTGCAGGAAGAACCTGCCCTGGTGCGTGGGTGCTGGTAAAAACTTACCCTTCTTGGTCAGCTGCAGGTGCTCCTGGATGAGGAGGACCTAGAAGGGTTCCAGACTGGGGGATTACTTTCGTTGCCATGATGAATGCTGTGTGGAAGGAATGCACGTGGGGGAGTGTATTCCTGCTCTTGTTCCTCACACTATTGCTCACGGTAACCCCCCAGGCCTCACGGAGGCTTTGTCGTCTTCCACTCCTACCTTGAGGGCAGGTGCCAGAAGGTAATTTTGGGAGAGTATGGCTCCTCTCCACAGGCTGTGGAATACTATAGGGCCCTGTTCTGTGCCCCCCCCCCTTTTATGCTGGGAGAGATCATCTGGAATTCTGGAGCTGGATGTCATTTTTATGGAGATGACCCTCAGATGCATTTATGTCTCTCATCCTAAAGGGTGCTGGCCTCTGTGGGAGTCTCCTGCCTGGACCAGACTCTGCTTTGGATAAGATGAACAAACTGAAGCTAAATCCAGACAAGTCTGAGGAATTACTGGTTGGTGGTAATTTCTGTCGTGTCGGAGACTTCTGGCTCTGGATGTGGGTTGTGCTCCCCTTGAAAAAGCAGGCTCATCGTTTGGGGGTATGCTTGACCCTGTGCTTTCTCTGAGTGCTCAGGTCGGTCTGGTGGTGAGGGACGCCTTCCATTCGTTGTTTAATTTACCCAGATTTGCCCTTCCTGGATACTGGTCTCACCAGCTTCTATTGTCCATGCATGGTTACCTCCCAAACAGATGGTAATACAGTTTATATGGGGATCTCAGTGTAGGAAAAAGTATTTTTGAGAAAGCAGTGCTCCCCAGTAATCACACCAAAAAACGATCTAATCCCAGGAGAGGAAGAAAGAAAACTTCAGTACAAATCTGCACAGGATCCCTGCTACCAAAAAGGACCCCTCTCTACGTGTGAAGCCTTCTTGTCCTCCCAGGAAGCTGTGCTCCCATGGCACGAATAACCCAGGCAAAGAAGAAAGGGGGCAGAGAACGCAGGCTAATGTTGAGCTGGAGTTCCAGCTGCAGAGCTTGTTCCAAGGCTGCTGGAGCTTACGTTACCTGAACTCCTATTCTGGCTGCAAAACCGTAATCAAGATTAATCATCTGAACAATCTTTTTCCCACTGGACAAAAACACTGAAGGAGAAACACGGTGCCTCTCTCTTTTTCACTACTGCTTTTTTTCTGTCTCCTCTTCAAGGAATCTTAGTAAAACTTCCCCAAATACTGAGGAAAATCAAAATACTGAAATACAGGAGCATTTACTGAAATATTATAAAAACATCAAGCACACTGGCTGTTTTACAGCATATTCAAAATATTTAATAAGACAAAAGTAACAAGAATATACTTTAATATAAGTTAGTTGGTTTTTAGAAGGTGGCTAAAGAATTCAAGAATGCTTAAATAGATAATCTAACAAAGAGTTTCCCCGTGTCATTCTTCTCTTGTAGAATAAGAAGCTTGTCCTTAGACTTTTTTCACCCTTTTGAGCACTTGCCTTGATAAAATAATTTTTTGGTGAGAGGATCTTAATATAATGCAAACTTTATCCAAA